CGAGGTGAAACGCGAAGAAACGAAGCTGCAACGACTATACCAGCGCCACAAGCTTAACCGACAAACTTCGTAACTTGTTTCTTCGTTGAAAATGCATCGTGTAAGATCTACAGACATCAGAATACAAATACGAAAGTACTGCAGCGTTTTGAAACAAGATTGAATCTTGTAATAAGATTTACGTAACTGTTTAGCGAGTCTATTTTCGTGCTCTGCAATGTGCTATAGAAAATTCTTATTTTGCAAGTTGCGTCGCATCGCGAGAATCCGCCGGCAAACAAGCGATTTTCCCAGGCACGGTATGCCGCGTTGCTTTTTCTCGTAAATGTTGATTGCATCGACTTGACGAATTCTTGTGGTTCGCGCGAGTCGCTCCATGAGCCGCTGTTTACCGCTTACACGCTATACCATACGATAAGTAGTTAGACCGCTTTAAGTTCCAACCATGGAAAACCAAAACTAGTTTATAAAGTAAACTTTTAAGTAAACTTTGTGACTCGTTTCTTCCTCGGGAGTGCATGATTGCGAAGAAACTTTATAACAGATGAAATAAATATATACAATGCGAAATTATACGTGTAACTTGACTCGAAGATAGAATATATACGTACAGGGTTTTCATTTATACGAAATTATTCGTAGATCGCTCTACTTCGGAAAATAGCTCGTCGATCGGGGACGCGTTATCTTTTCAAAATCATAGATGTTATTTCGAATAGAATTCTATTCGTTCTTTCGTTCGAAAACCATTGGTCATGCAAAATAACTTCATCGGATCGGAAAGCTGGTTGTACTTCTCGTATATTGTTGCGTATTATGTCAAAAGGATTTTTCATGTACGTGGTTTGACGTTTGTGAAGTTTTGTGGTATCTATATCGCTTAACAGCGTTGCTATTATATCGCGGAAACGACCGCAAGCTTCTAGATTATTTCGAAAAATTTCCATCCTTCCAGCGTGATAACTCTGAACTTTTCGTAATAACAGGCTAAGAAAAGGGTGAAACGAGAACGAATAATCGGAATAATTCAATTGACGACGTAAGAGATAGAAAATAGCAAAACGATACGTGTCACTTACAACGGTAGTAAACGCGATGCTTTCGATAAACATCGAAATAACAAGAGGAAGTAGCGGGAGGAGCGAACAAGAAATAGTCGGTCCAATTCTTGATCCTGACCACTTAACCTTCTTAACTTTAATCAATATATTTCAGACGGGTCTTCCATAATTAGAATAATGGAAGGTCTAATAGAGGTTTCTATGCGAATAAGGACGTAATTGTGGATGGAAAGTTTAAAAGCATTCCTGGTGCCTTTGGTGATTAGAGAGTGCAGTGGGCGCGGTTACTTAGCTAGTTAACTCGTTCGCTCGTGCAGCAAGTCGAATCGAAAGCACGTTTCGCTGGCACGATTTCCACCCTCTTGGCTACCAGACAGTCATTTATAGTCAAACGTAACGGATTTCCAAATATTATTGTCGGATGTCTATACCCCATTATATGCATGTTCATGTATATGTATATCATGGCAACATGTATTTCGAACAAACAAAATTTCATTTTTTATCATAGATATGTACATATACAGGGTGGTTGGTAACTGGTGGTACAGGCGGAAAGGGGGTGGTTCTACGCGAAAAAAGAAGTCGAAGATATAGAATAAAAATTTTTCGTTCGAGGCTTTGTTTTCGAGAAAATCGACTTTGAATTTTCGCTCGGTACGCTATTTCGTGCGGTACGTTATAACGGATCTTACTGTAGATCGTTGTCCCGATGGAAAAATAAAAAAAAATTTTTATTCTATATTTTTGACTTCTTTTTTCGCGTAGAATCACCCCCTTTCCGCTTGTACCACCAGTTACCAATCACCCTGTATACTCGCGAATCGGTTACTTACGTGTTTCGAACAAGCGCGCTTTCGTCTAGACGCATTTGCATATTATACGAATTAATGCTAAAACAATGTAAAAAGATGCTAATTATACTGAAAACTATCTATTTCTAAAATTGAAAATTATAGATTAATTCGAAATAATGATTTTATTTATCGAGAGATGGAGAAAAGTGAAAAGATAACGTAAAACTGTAGATTTTATGGTAACGAAGAAAGTTCTGTCCTTTTTCGGAGTGTGAAACGTATAATAAAGTAATTTTATTCGTTAAAAAAATATTCACCTTTAGATCGAGTTACTCTCTCACAACGGGAAGGGCAATGGGAAGGTAATTAAGAAATATCGCCTTTCTAAAATTCAGAATTTTTATCTTCGAAAAATTGACACACCTTCTTATTTATAGTCGTATCGTTTATAAATTGTTTTCCCAGCATATAATTATCCAAAGATCGAAAGAGGCGATAGAAGTTCCCATCTCAGTATCTTGCAAAAATAAAATTTGTCGACGATTCGCTATAAATGACTGTTTTTTTTTTTCTTTTCTTAAGTTTGTCATATAGTGTTCCTAGTTGCTCACTGTACAAGTTCGCTGTGAGAGTTTGATCAGAATTCAGATATTTGTGGCGAACAATGTCTCGCGTAGTCCACCAGATGCGCGTGAGTATCAGAACTTTTTGGTTAATATATTATGATCTGAATTAATAATATTAAAATCGGTCGTTGCGTCAGAATTTTGCAAATAATTGTATCATAATTCTATAATTTTCTATAATATTTATATGTGTGTGTGTGTGTGTGTGTGTGTGTGGATAATATTTTTAATACTAGTGGCAAATACGAGCTCAAAGGTGGAAGTATTTTAACGTTTTAAATTGCCCATGACAGGAATGTTCAGCCGTATGATACGATATATTGCGGATGAAATTGTTCGGTAGTGTGAATTCAACTGAATTTTAATAGGACCACAGTGAAATGTTAGATATAATAGATGTGTGGAATTTACGAGCACTTACCAATCGAATGTACCGATACTCGATCAAGACAAATACATAGCATGTAAAAAGACTTTTCATGTTCCAAATTCGGAAATATCTTTAATAATCTTTCATAGAATAATAGTAATTTAGACACGCGCGAACGCGACCAACTATATGTATTATTTTTTTCGAATACTTTAACGTATCGCGTGTGAAGTAAAATATTCGAACGGCATGAAATTACGTTGAAAAATGAATCATTTTAATCGTTACCGCTGTAAAAAGATACGTTGTTTTAAAATAATCGTCGATACACCGATACGATATGAAAGAGTACATGTGAGTTTCGCTAAACACATGGAACGTAGCGTTGACAGTACTAATACACTGAATTTCGTTGCAGTTATGAACGATGTCGATATAGAAAATATTTCAGTGTATCGAGAAAATTGGTATTCACAGATATTGTTTTTTTCTACATATCTGTTTTACGCTCCTAGAAATAAACATACATACGTATTTACACAAGAGCATATTTTGCGTTTAATGCAAATTTTGTGCCTGCTATGCATCGTACGATTTTCTGCCTTTTTTTCACATTTTTGTCTTTATACCGCGATTCATAGAGTTACTGGTTAAAAAATTGCAAACAAACGATATAACGACTGTTAACTAGCAATTAACATTGTGTACATAGTCGTTGGGAAAATGGAGAAAAAGTAGAAGATCGGATAAATGCAACATGTCTGACATTTGACACATCAACAGAAATCCATAGATAGCAGAAACCAAACCGTTCGGAATAGGAGAACCGTGAAATAAATTTTTGAGTTTAACTTTACGTTTCGATCTATCGCAAAAATTTCTCCAGTTCGAAGTCAAGATACATAACGATACATAAAACATCAATGAGGAAACGTTCAATGAAATATCGCGGATCCATAAAACTTTGTCAAAACGTTCACTACACGAACTCACGCAGTGTACGAGCAGAAAATTTCTACCAAGTATCGCAAAGTATTTTTACTATAGAAAGAACATAGATGTCAGTTTTTAAACGATGAAATGAAGTTTATAATTTCGAAATTTTTCGTCACAATTACGGCAAACGAGAATAAATATGGCAAGTATAGCGCGTGTACATCGTACATGTGACATGGTAAAAGTTACGGAAAAAAAATCGACATGTTTCATATACTCGCAACGTTTACACAAGAACGAAAGAAAATGTTCGTTTTCTATAAGTAGACGAAGTATATTAATCGCATAGTATGCAAACGCAAGATTGCGTTATATTTCATTTACTTTCCCTTTGCAGTGTAAACAAGCCTCGACTATCAAATACCTTTATATCGGATATACTTGTATCAGCCTCGTACACGATACGTGATGTATGATGTACGTTAATTTAAAATTATAGTCGATATCGATAATTTATCGATAATACGCGACAAAGGCAGGGAAACAGAGTGTGATATAACATAAAATACTAAACAGTATTATGTATTATTAAATCCATAAATCTATAAATTTACCTTTGTGCCGTAAATTACATCGTTATTTTCATAACAGTTGTTACACGTATGAAAATTATAACGACATTTGTGTAGTATGCGAAGAATATATTTCGGTGACCGAGTGTTATTAAATATCGATTGGTTTCGTTATTTATTATCTTCAAATTCGATTGAAACGAGCATTGTAACATAAATTGGCACGAAATTCTGCAAAGATAACGACGCAACTTCTTCGTAATAATTTAGTCATGAATTTACTTCACCGGTCGAAAGAAGGATACATAATGTTAGTGTTAAATTAATATGGGCCTTTAATAAGGGCAAAAACCAGTTTCTCCAAAGTTCGTTGCATGAGAGGTTAATTACTTAGGCGATTAAGCTTGCCAGACAATAAGGCGGCCGGGTTAAACAAGCAGATTGATCGATTTAGCCTTTCTCGTTTCATTCGCTTTAGCGTTCAAAGCGTACGCCCATCGACGAATATTTGCATTGTTCCTAAACGTTCCTCTCGAGTCGATTTTTCTTTCTGTACACGCCGAATATTTCTAGCGTTCGCTTCAACTAGATAATTTATTTAGTATCCGTGATTAACGCCACTTTTGCCATTTATCTAGGAATTGACCTAAAATAGCTGTCTCGATTCGCGACGAAACTATGGATTTACCGCCTGATTTAAGGTACGTATCTCGTTTCGAAAAGCGCAAAAGTTTTCGATGTCTCTATGTTTAACGAGCGACCAAGTTGGGTGATCCGGTTGATCAAAGTCGAACGCGATGATTAAATCGATCACTGGATAGAAGAAGGTATAAAATTCAGTAGATATGGTGTAATAAATTAGAACGTTTCACCGGTCAAGGGACATTAGGACCGCGAAAGATTTAGCGACTACGGATTCCACGAACGAGGATAAAGCGAGCCACTCCTACTGCAAATTGACTTCTTTGATCTGTCTGGAAAAGAAGGAAAGTCCAGTGAATCCGTACAATCGGGTGGACTGGACGAAAATGAACTCAAAATGGCCACTTCCGGACACAGACGACAATGAGATCAATGCTGTTAACAGCCTGCCACAACTCGACTGCGGTGCGTTCCCGAAATCCTACATGGACACGTGTTCTTGTTGCCCACGGGGGATCTTTGACAAGCACGATACCGACACCATCAACAACTACAGGAGTATCGTGCTCAAGGACGACGATTGCTGCAAGACCCACTGGACGAGGAAAGAGCGTTATCAGAAAATTAAAGCGAAAGTCGACAGAGCTGTTAAGGTAGACATCAGATCCCTTTACGTGGAAAATGTTCCAAAATTTTGAAATTCCGATCGGATGTTACGTTCAAACGTTCATAAACGAACATATACGTGTTCGTTATAACTATTCGATAGATTATCCAGATCCGAATAGTTTTACACAGAAATTCGCGTAATACAGTAGCTTTAGGATACTTTGAAGCACGTGCTACCGTGTTTCAGAGGCACAAAATATTTCTGATACGCGGTGAGTTACCGAAATTGAAAGAAGCTCTGGAGAAAAGGGGTTGGGTGCAAAAATACGAAGCTACGAAAACAAGAGCCGTACCTTATGGTTAGTTTTCTTGCCTTTCCTAATCAAATCCTTTTCTTTACGTTCTACTTCCTTTAATTAAAAATCGACCGCGTAAACTCTGACAAAGTGTCTATTGTTATATAAGCAGCTATCGTCTTTCCGATCCGAGTAATATCGTCAAAATTGAACTAGCCGCAAGCTTTTTACTAAAAACTAAACGAACTTTCATTTTCGTCTGAAATCCCTTCTTCGACTTTTAGGTAGCGTAGCCAGCTTAGAAGCAAGATCGTTGGGCGATTTGACCCAATCGGACGGTACCTTAAACGAGAAGGCGGTAATTTTCGCTTTATTACGTCACAAATCGCCAGACTTTATATGGGACTGTCGGAACGACTTTGTCGATTGGCATCGTGGCTTGAGTAACAATATCATTCTCAACAGATATCAAAAACCCTTCGTCTACACTTCAAAGGTTAACATCGATAATTAGATACGCGAGAATCTTCGATACATCGTACAAGATGTGAAATATATTGTTTAAGCTCGATCGAACTTTAGTTCGCTGGGAACTCGACGAAATATTGACGATCACGAAATAATGTAGCTAGGAATGGCTCGTTTGTTGGAGGAAGCTCACTGGCTGTACGAGAAGGACGTGTCGTCGGTATTATTCCCTCGAAGTTACAACCTGAGCAGAGAGCCGAAAGCCTTTCTCGATGATTTTCGTTTGACCGCCGCCGCTGGTCTGTTGAAATGGTTCGTCGGAAGAATGCACGATGGCCAGGGTTTCTCGGAGTCGGGACATCGGCCGATTCTAATGAGTCGACTGGAGTTTGCCATAAAACGCTGCGAGGAATTTATCGCCCGTGAAATCCACCAAAACATAGACAAAGACTTTGTGACCGAGTTTTCCGAAGAGGAATGGAATTCCTTTTTGGACGATTATACCGCAGCCGTGCACGAGGGAGCTGGAATCGAGACCACCTCGGAAAAAAGTCGAGATCAGCTACAAGTACGATACTCGTGTACTTTCTTTTCTTTTCTTTTCTTTTCTTTTTTTTTCTTTGCTGTCGCTTGCGTAGTACCATCTTAAAGAATAGACGATCCGTTTCCAAGCGATTTCTCGCGTTTAAATTAAAAACGCTGGTAATCTCGATTCGACGCGACAAATTTTGGATCTCGCTACCCTGAATTTTCCATTACATCGTTTAGAAATATCTAGAGGCGACGAATCCGATACTGGCAAGATTGAAAGAGATAGATCCGCAATACGAATTAAACGGAATGAGAAATATATGGATATTAAAACCGAGCGAACTTTGTTGCGGTACGGGAATCAGCATATCTCACAGTTTAAAGGATATATTTCGAAAGATAAAAAGCAGACCAAAGGATTACTTCATTGTTCAGAAGTACATTGGTACGTAAAACGTTTAATCGTTTAAATTTTATACCTTTTCGCGATCTCATCTCTTTCCTCTTAATTTCAGAACGTCCGTTGTTGATTCACGATACGAAATTCGACATAAGGCAGTGGTATTTGGTTACAAATACATTTCCCATGACAATATGGGTGTTCAAGTAACTAAATTTCCGACTTTACAGTTCCGCTGTATTTCGAACGTCTAAACGATATTTGTAGCGAAGTTTGTATTACATTTTTTAATCGAACCATCGGAAAATAATTTTCTATCTCGTGAAACGTATGCTCGCACACCTATCGGCGAATCTCGTGTGCGCAAATAAAAGGACACGCAATACGTTATACGTACGTTACAGGTCTACGGAGAAATCTCGGAAAAGGATTTTGTTAGAGAAAAGAGCCTTGAAAATTATTCCGAAAGAATCTTCTCGATGGAGATTCCATCAAAGAATTTTCTCGATCCTTTTCTATCCTTTTGCAGGGAAGGACTCTTACGATTCAGCTCGAAACCCTACACTTTCTCAACTTATCACGAAGCGATTCATATCTGCAATACCGCCATTCAGGAGAAATACGACGAGGAGAGGAGGAGACGGAGAAAACGTGGAAATTCGGAGGAAGTCGTAAAATCGATTCGCGATCAAGGATGGGACTGCGAGAAGCTGAACGAATATTTAAAGTAATCTCTCGACCGGTCTATTCGTTGCGAGTAGCAGTTTCGGTTATCCGTTCGTTACGGTCGATAGCGTTTGATGACTGCGAGATCGATAGGTTTGATCAAACGTCGTCCAAATATGCTTAGAATCTGTGTATTTTCTTCTCGGGTAATCGTCTCTGCCCGTCTGTCCTTCCTTTTGCCATTATTTCCACGGGCATAATACTTTGCTTACTTGTATTATTTTCTGCTTTCTCGCTATCGCTGTTCGAAGGATATTCGAATTTGCAACGATCTAGCGTAGAACATAATCGATAAGTTTGACGTTAGCCGTATCTTTTGGAAAAGATATCCGTTAATTTTCATCGATAGAGATATCTATTCAGTGGCTAACGCAAAGGTCATAATTGTCAGGCAAACGGGGCTCGACGGCGAACCGTATTACGACAAGATCTATACGAAAATGTCGGAAGCCATAGTTCTGACGATGCTGGCCTCCCAGGAGCACATGGACAGACGACGGTGTAGTTTCGAGCTATACGGGGCCGATTTCGTCGTGATGGAGGACCTTTCGGTTTGGTTGATCGAGATCAACACGAATCCCCGGATGCATCCTCCCAGCTCGAGAATTACCAAACGCCTCTATTCCAATGTTCTCGAAAGCTTGGTGAAAGGTTAGCAAACTACGATCTATAGGGTAACGTAGAGAGAAGCAAGTTGTCACAAACCGAGACTGCGGGTGAAAGTTTCCGAGGATAGTGGCCGGGACAAGTCAACGAGACGGTATACGTATTCTGATTTCCTCGCGAATGCACGAACGAGCTTTTCAAATCGTTTAGTATCGACTACACTGTGTTCAAGTTTCCAGATTTCGATTATACAACTCTGCTTGTCGGGTCTACGGGTCGAGAGTACAACCCCCCCTACTGTTTCTAATTCTTTGCGCACGATTGAAAATATCTTTTTGCCAAAATACAGGCTCAATCGTAGTCGCATCTGTCGGAAAAAAATCAGCGGTTTTTGTCTTTTATCGTAGGTAAATGCCCAAAGAAAGAATTAACGGCATTCTCTGGGTACTTTCGGGTATCGGATTTCTTTCTATCGTCCGTTACTTTTATTTCCGTTCGAACCGAGTCCGCGTTATACGTATTTGCGATTGTTCGTAATCCGATAAAACTTCTTTTTTACCGGTACGAGAAATATTAGTTTTCGTTGGATCTTGTGTCGAGGCGCGCGCGCACCTAACTGTGATACATTTGTCAAAAATGAAAGAAAATTGCTCGAAACGCGCAAATCTGTTTAGGTAGGTTAATTTAATACTCGTGCAGCTGGTGCAGCTTCTACGTGCTTTCGAACGCGCTGAATTTCGTTCGTACAAATTCATTTAAAACAAACAAATAGATGCGCTTAGGTACCGAGCTGTACTGCAGCAACGTGATATCCGATCTAAATATACGATAGTCGATTCGAAAGGACTATTCGAACGGGAGAGAGAGAGAGAGAGAGAGAGAAAAGGTAACGGGAGGTGTGGAATAAAATAAGGGAACGCGAAGATATGAAATAAACGGAGTAAATCTGTTGTTCATTTTCAACTTGTTTCAGTGGTAATGGATGTACCGGTGAATCCGGCAGCGGACACGGGTGGTTTCAGTCTGGTATACAAGCAAAATATACCCGACTTCCGACCTTATCTCGGTCCTTGCCTGTTCGTGTTTGGCAAGTCGATAACGTTGCAAGAACATCCGCGGAAACGAGAGAAGAGAAAGAAAGGAGGAACCGGTTGGGTGAAACAGCAGCATCAGCAGCAACAACAACCCCGTGCGTGGACCGCCCCACCGATGATTCCACGATTGAGGGAGCCGAAAATAGTCGACTTTATCGACTACTTGAACACCGCCCGCTGTACAGCCGCCAACTGATATTCCGCCGTTAAGTAGCTATCGCGACATTAGGCCGGTCGATATTCGATTGATCGTTGCGCGATATTTAATAAATCAAAATGTAGGGGGCAAAGCGTATCTTCTAGTTAAAACTCGTAAACGCCAGGTACACGCGAAGAATCGCGGGAAAATCGTTAAAGTTGCGACGACTCGGTTTTTTCACAGAGAGCCGAACATCGAAACAATTTTGGTAGATGCGATGGAGATCGCGACCAGTTGAAAAAAACAACAAAAAGGTCTACTCTCTTTTTGCAGGAAGTTCCTCGTCACGAACGTTGCGTCATATTCATATAGCTTGGCGATTTCGTCACGCTGGTGGTGGCGTATGGATGAAAATTCTGTTACACGTTTTGTCGCAACCTAGGATATTCGGGCTGACTACGATTTTACGATTCTTCCTTGTTTACCCGGTTTGCTCGAGACCGCGTGCACGCGCAGCTTTCCAAGAAAAGTCAGCTGCACCCAACTGTAATTAACGTACACAAGATAAAAGAAATAATCGACTATGCCATTAACGAATCGTCGTTTCTTACGTCGCTTCCTGTAAGAAATACCGATCCATCGTAGTCGCTCGAGCTAAACAGACGAATCCACTTTCCTCGTCAAACTCTTTCATCGCTACTCGCGGTATAGACGAATGAAACGATTCCTCGGGTTTCGTTCGATTTGCGCGACCAAATGCACGATCCGTACCAATTATACGTTTCGGCGAGAATCTAACCTGTCGCTTTTGTAACGCCATGCAACGAAACCAATGCCCGGATTGTTTTTCAGATATAACAAGGTAGCAATAACGGTTAAGTAACAAGTTCAAACCTTTGAACCGCCACACGGAAACTCCGTTGTACGATTCAATCACATTTTTCATTGAAATAAACTAGCAAAGCGGATTACAATCTGTGCTTTTACTTGTTGATTTGGGTATACGGCGAACGAAGGAAAAAGAATATACCGTTCCTCTTGCCACGTTTCGACAGATTCCGGTCTAGAGAGAAAGTCAGTAGATAAAGACGATCGTTTTATTGATATGTACATACAATGAATTTATTTACAAATAATACAATAAATTTTGACGTCGTAAGTTATTCGTTCTTGATGATATATCTTAACAAAATACTACGTTTTTACCGATTATTGTGCCGTGCTGATATTCGAAAACTCTTTGGTCACGGAAATTTAATGAAAATGTAGGTAATATTCGATTTTACCCTGCGCAAATATTCACCCAAAGAACGTTACCGATCATAGGCAATGCGATTTGCAAGTGAAAACGCGCTGTATCATCGTGTTTCGTATTTCTTCTCCCTTTCGACGATTATCCTTTCTTTCCTCTTATACAAATATTACGTTAGCTACTATTAAAATTATAAAACACATTGGCCGTGTCCCGGTGTACGACGAACTTCCATCACCGTGATGCATCGCAGCCGGTCGTTCTTCTGTAACAAAAATTTTACTCGAATCGTATGAAATTCTTTCGGTTTCGAACTAGATAACGTGCTTATCCAATCGACCATTGTTTTGTCTTGTCCTTTCCTCTCGTTTAAAATTTATCGATCGTGTTTCGTTCGACCGTCAGAAGAGCGTCTCGCTACCGTCGCGATAATAGCACAAACGCAACGAACGATTCGAACAATCGAGAGAAAGAACGCAAACAGACGTTTGCGAGCGGATCAGTCGGAACGATGACGGTGATAAATCACCGTCGTGCACGACGTGTCGCATCGATCTGCATTCGCGTCAGGTAAGGCTATGCAGGCCATTGTGCCAAGCAATTAACGCTTGAAGTTGATAAATAACATACCGGAAACTTGGCTTAACTTATTTCGAATTATCGTTAAATCCACGCGTCCGCTTTCATCCTATCATAAGGCTCACCCTAATAATTTACCGAAGTGTAAACGAAGCAGTTACGTGTATTTATCGGAGCAAATTAGTCCCTCGAATCTACTTTCCATCCAGACTATTTGAAATTTCATATGTATTTCTCGTCCAAAACCGTATCGCTCTGACTCGATGTCTTGGTACTATTAGTATCGGCGTGGATATTGGCACCGGTACTAGTCTTAGTCTTAGCTTAGTATCGGTATTGTATAGTACACGCTTTGCTTAGCAACGCGACTTCATTCCCTTGCTGTTAAAGTAATAAACCGTGTCAACTTTGCGACTCGAATTCACTCGATGCATCGCGAC